GGGAGGAGAGGATGGAGGGGATAAAAAGAGTGGGACTCGCGCTCGCCAAGTGGCGTGTTGATACGCTCTGTTCCGTTTCAGTCAGTGTTCCGCCACAGTTCCACGAGCGCTCGCGTACTCGCGATTCTTTGAAGCTGACTGAATCGCGAATTGCCACTCTCAGATTTGGCGAGCAAGATCCAGCTGTCGCTTTCACGCGTCACTCAGTGCTCCCACCACTGGAGACGTTTTTTATTTTTCAATTTTTTTTTGGTAAGTGTTTTACGGCGCTCGCAACTGCATACGGTCATATGAGCGCAGGACACACCAAACATTTTCAATTGGTAGGAGGAAATTTTGAATTTTGCCCGGGTGGTGGCCGAAGCCTACTCGTATCGATTTTGGATCACCAAGGGATGTTTAACGTGCGCAACATGCACACGGCACCTCCGAGATTTTTCGCCCTTGTCCGAGAAGGCTAGGTGTAGATCTTTCCTATCAGAAGATCAGGGGTGCGGCTGAAAGACGGCAGCAAGAAGGAGCTAGGAGTAACAGCAGAAAGGCCGCAGAAAGAGTCCGGAGTCCAGTGGAGCGGGCAAAGGAAGAGAGGGAGTGAGGGCAAAAAGTGGAGACGAAAGCAGACGACAGAATATTGCAAGAGAGAAGGAAATGCGGTGAAAGGAGACACTTTTAGAGAACAAATCTTTTCGGTCGCTACCCGGATTCGAACCCAGGACCTTTGAATGAGAGAGGCGATCACATTAACCTCTAGGCCATGAGAGCACCCGGAGACATTCGGCCACTTGGAGTGTGGGTGGTCAACACGTTACGTCGAACTGGTCTTCCAGCAAAGAGCCCTGCCTCCTTTTTAGTTTAGATAGTTTTAGTAGAGCTTTTACGGCGCTCGCAAGTGTATAAGTTTATATGAGCGCCAGAAGATTAGTAGAGGTGTTACAAGAGAGTAACAAACATAAAAAAGAAGAAGGGGAGGTAAGGACGATCGATGTTTGATAGGAAAGAAGAAGCAAACCACACCACAGCACCCGCCAACCACCCACCGCGTCTCCTTTCCATGAGTTGGAAGCGGACTGTCTGGTCAGACAATAATTCTTCAATGTCCATGGATTTTTAGCAGCACTAGACGTTGCTGTTGTGGTGTTTTTTCAGGAACGAGTATTGTTATGTTTTCATTTACCCTGACAAAATAAAAGAACACCCCCCCCCAACCCAATCCCTTTCCTTTTCCCCTCTCAAAAAGCAAACAAACAATCAAACACACAAACAATAATACAAACAGACAAAGAAACGAACGAAGGAACAAACAAACTAACTAATTAATTAACTAACAGAGCTACACAAAAAATGTGTGTTGATTTAGGCCACAGAACCTTACGAAGTTCTTCTATCAACTGTAACAGATTAGAACCGGCAAAAGTAAGCGCTCGTCCTTCGCTCTAAACTTACTTGACAAAGCATGCACGCCTGACGTCTTCCCTCCTTATGGGGCCAAACGTGGGTCACTGAGATACTATACACGAAAAAACCCTTACAACTTGTTGAAAGACTTAGAAGTGAAAAGAATTTGGACAAAAAAAGAAGAGGGATTGAGGGTGGGTGGTTGGCTTTTACCTCATAATTCACGTTCAAAGATACGCAAAAGACCCTGTTAATTTGTTCAAAGACTCGGAAGTGAAAACGATTTTTTTTCTGGGGGGTGGGGGTGGAGGAGGGTGTTGTTGGAATTCATTTTTACCACTTAACTGATTATAAAAGTTACGCGAAAGACCTTATTATTATTAGTCTGTTTAAAGATTTGGAAGAGAAAAGGGGGATGGTGGCATATAGTGGTTGGAAAGGTTGGGGGGGGGGGTGAAATTAACTTTTACCGCATAAATGATTGTAGAAGATACGCAATAGACCCTGTCAACTTGTTTTGAAAAAAAGAACAAGGGAAAGGTGAGGTTGTCTACTGTTGCCACATAATTGATTTTAAAAGATACGCAAAAGACTCTTATAACATGTTTATTGGTTTGGAAATGGAAAAAAAACAGGTGGGGAAGGGCAAAATTTACTCTTACCACATAATAAATGATTGTACAAGATACGAAAATGTTCTCTTTCCATCAACAGTGCCTACGGAGTGGCGTCGGTGGCCTAGTAATTAGGCAGACGGACTCGTAATCGTGAGATTGCAGGTCGGGAGTTCGAGCGTCAGCTCGACCCGACGTTGTGTCCTTGTGAAAGGCACTTTGCACGAATGTCAAACTTGGCTCGGTCCTTTCGGAGACGGACGTTAAACTCGGAGGCCTCGCCTCTTAAATAACATAGTAGTGTTGATAGGGGCGTTAAACCTCTACCATTTCACCATTTTTTTCAGTGCCAAAGGAGCTGCTTACCAACAGCTCTTGCCCGGAAGGCCTATGGGGAAACTACTGTCACATGACCTGCATGGACAAAGCCTGCCAAAGCTGTCTCAAGACCAACGGCGGGTATTGTGAGAAGTGCCGGGACGGCTACAATCTGACAGCCACGAAGGACTGTGAAAAAGGTGGGAGCTCATCAGTGATTGTTGGTTTGTGTGTGTGTGTGTGTATGTGTGTGTGTGTGTGTGTGTGTGTGTGTGTGTGTGCGTGGTAGCCTATCCTTTCGAACTGTTTGGAGCCCCGAAGAGCTTGCTCTTCGCCAGGGCCACAGCCTCTCTTGGGTAGAGGGTGAGGCAGTCCAACTTTCCTGAATCCTCTCCCAAAGAGATGCCAATCCTTCAGCCAGTGCTCCAAATCTTTAGGCTCCTAGCTGCACAATGGAAAGATTTGGGTCCGATATTGTGTCTATTCTACCTTTTGTGGGCCCGCAGCCCAGAGAAGTGACCAGTCCTGATTTTTGCCAGTAGTGACCTGTTGTTGTTGTGCCCTTGACATAGATGGGTGGCTTAAAAAATTCTACCACTTTTAGCGGTTTTTTCGAATGAATGTGGGATTTTCTGCTTTAAAAAAATGTTTCCTGTCTTACCATAGACTTTCCTGGTAGCACGATGTGACTGGACGTGAAAAGGTATAGGTTTAACTCCCCTATCAACACTGTTAGGTTATTTAAGAGGCAGGATCTCCGAGTTTAACGTCCATCTCCGAAAGAACCGAACCAAGTGGGAAACTCTGTGAAAAGTGCCTTTCCCAAGGATACAACGTCGGACCGAGTTGTAGCTTGAATCCCCGAACCAGCAATCTGACGACTATGAGTCCGGTAGCCTAACCACTAGGCCATCGACACAACTCTAGGGTAAGAATGACCAAGTCACCGTCACAATGACTTGATCAGTGGACAATATAATATGTGAAGCATTATGGTGAAATCAGGTGCTCGTCAAAATAATTTTTATCTGAGAAAATTGCATTTTTTACCAATTTTTGGTTTGTTTTGACTCAACACCTTGTATGTCCATATAAAACATATTTCCATATGAACTTTACTGAAAACTGTTGATTAAAGCCACAAAATATGTCATTTTTCAGTTTTCAAGGACTCTCAAGGTATTGAAGTTACCAATTTTCGGCGGCCATTTTCTCTGTAATTTTAGTACCTTAACCAGGAGACCCTACATCCTTCAATCGCAAGCATCTTGCCTTCTATTTCAGATAAATTGGTACATTTCTTTTCATCTTCCGATAGACAAATGAACCAGCTTTAAGATGATACCAATAACTCCACATGGCCCATAATTGACGAGCGCCTGATTCCACCGTGCCATTTCACATATTGTTCAATTCAACACAATACATATTACTCAAATGTTGCTTCTTACTTACTACCATTTTAACATCTTTCGTAAAAACCGCTCAGAAGTTATTCCTTTATTTGATTTAGAGACTATCAAAACGTTATTCTATTGTAGTCGTACGTCAATTCTGACCAAAAGTAGACTAATATAGACCACCATTACTCTCAAAAGACACATGTAAAAGGAGCTGTAAATACTGAGAAAAATGTTTATTGGAAAGACAGGTAGAGTTTGTTGTAGCTTTATAATAATAATAATATGTGGTGTCCGTGGTCTAGTAGTTCTGATATAGCGTGTCGGGCTCGCAGCTAAAAGGTCATGGTTTCAACCTTTGTTCGGGCCCCGACGCAGTGTGCTTGGGAAAAGACGCTTCCCACTAATTTTCCTCTTTCCACCTGGGATGGAATGAGTACCCAGCAATGGACCGCGAAAGAACCTGTCAGATTGTTGGTGCTTGAGCACTTAATCCGCTGCCTGCACTGTGTCCTGTATGCTTTCCGGAAGTCGAGAATGTCTCTGAGTTTCCAACGTGAACAAAATGATATAGGTTTAACGCCCCTATCAACACTATTAGGTTATTTAAAAGGCGGGACCTCCCAGTTGAACATCCATCTCCGAAAGTACCACACAAAAGCACCAGCTGATCTTCGGCACTTATTACATGACCTAATTGTGTTGCAAGTGCCGTAAAGCTCTTACTGTGGGGGGGTTGGAGGGTGCTCTAGTGTGGTTTGCTTCTTCTTTCCTATCAAACAACTATCACCCTTATCTCCCCTTATTCTTTTTATGTTTGTTATTCCCTTGCAACGCCTCTAATCTTCTGGCGCTCATATGACAATATGCAGTTGCGAGCACCGTAAAAACTCTACCAAAACTATATTTAAAAAACTCTTCCTAAAACTGAACTAACAATGTTCTTTCCTTCTCCTCGTTGTCTCCAGATTCCTTTGTCTTGATGATTCTGGTGGTCTTTCTGTGCGTGTTGCTTCTGATCCTCGTGGCTCTGCTCCTTTTGCTCCTCAAACGGTGAGTCCGGCTGTTTGGTAGGGCTCATACGGCGGGCGGCTGGGGGTGCCGCTAGTTTATTGTTACTTTTTGTATTATTATTATTTCTTCTTCTTCTTCTTCTTCTTCTTCTTCTTCTTCTTCTTCTTCTTCTTCTT